ATGCTAAGATAATAGGAAGGATAAGAAATTTAGATGATTGTCATGCCCTTCAAGAAGACCTGGACAAAATAAGTATATGGAGCACCACTTGGCAAATGGAATTTAATGTTAATAAATGTCATGTTATGGAATGTGGAATAGGAGAACATAGACCCCACACAACCTATATATTATGTGAGAAATCTTTAAAGAATTCTGATAAAGAAAGAGATCTAGGAGTGGTTCTAGATAGAAAACTATCACCTGAGGACCACATAAAGAATATTGTGCAAGGAGCCTATGCAATGCTTTCTAACTTCAGAATTGCATTTAAATACATGGATGGCGATATACTAAAGAAATTGTTCATGACTTTTGTTAGGCCAAAGCTAGAATATGCAGCTGTTGTGTGGTGCCCATATCTTAAGAAGCACATCAACAAACTGGAAAAGGTGCAAAGACATGCTACTAAGTGGCTCCCAGAACTGAAGGGCAAGAGCTACGAGGAGAGGTTAGAAGCATTAAATATGCCAAAACTAGAAGACAGAAGAAAAAGAGGTGATATGATCACTACGTACAAAATAGTAACAGGAATTGATAAAATCGACAGGGAAGACTTCCTGAGACCTGGAACTTCAAGAACAAGAGGTCATAGATTTAAACTAGCTAAACACAGATGCCGAAGAAATATAAGAAAATTCACCTTCGCAAATAGAGTGGTAGACGGTTGGAACAAGTTAAGTGAGAAGGTGGTGGAGGCCAAGACCGTCAGTAGTTTCAAAGCGTTATATGACAAAGAGTGCTGGGAAGACGGGACACCACGAGCGTAGCTCTCATCCTGTAACTACACTTAGGTAATTACACTTAGGTAATTACCTGTTGACGGACGGTTGAGAGGCAGGACCAAGGAGCCAGAGCTCAACCCCCACAAGCACAACTAGGTGAGGACATATATTGTAAAAGCACAAGCCGCCGACTAGTGGCAAAGAGCACTACGCCGGCCAGGCAAAGAAGGCACAAAACTGCATCAAAAGGCCCACCTCGACAGCAAAACCACAAAGTCCCAGCACAACCACAACATGTGCCAAGACCCAAAAAGCTCAGTCTGCAAGCCAGGAAGACCCCGGAACCCCAAAAGGCAGAACCGGGTCACACGAGGAAACAAAGTCCCCTGAACCCACAAAAGGGGGCCCAAGAGGAAGAAACCTCCAGAACGAAACCAAGGAACCCAAAGGAACCCAGAATCGAACCAGGGGGAGCCCAAACCACCACATTTGCCGGCGGAGAACACCACTAAAAGGCAAAGCACAGACCCCAGCAGAACGCCCTGGGAAAACGGTCCCAACAGACCGAAAACCGAGGGGCAAGGTGTGGGAGCAAGCATACCAGCCAGGGGCACTGAGCCTAAACCCAGAGGCTCAGACCCAAAATCAACACCCAAACGTTCCCAGAGGAACAGGCAACGGCAAGAAAACACCAGAAAAACAAAGAAACGACAACAGGAGAACAAAAACCCTGCAAATTTTTTGAAAACTCACCAGAGACGCTCGCTCGCACACCCAGACGCATGTAAACAAACCGCAACGCCGCCCTGGTGGCCACGCCGGGAAACCGGCAGACGAAAATGGCCGCCAGCAGGGGCTGTGACTGACGCTTAATACACAAAAACACGCCAGCAAATGTGGGAAGCTAGCAGACTGGAAGGGCGAAAAACGACGCCCAACAGCAGAAAAACCCCTGAAGGGGCAAAACCGCCCCAGAACTGCTAGCAGGCAACCCCCACAGCCCCGGGAACCAACAACAGAGGCCCCGGGGCAGAGCCGTCCTCCAAGCCCTCCGCCCTTAAAGAAAAGCAAGAGCCCATGGGAAAGGCAACAAGAAAGGGCCGCTGGTAAGACCCAGAAGCCTTGGCAGGAGGCACAGGCTCAAACCTCCGTCCCCAACCCGAACGGGGCATCCCCCGAAAACCGCCCGAGTCTCTGCCGCAACTGAACCCCGCCCCGACCCCGAAACCCGCAGACGGTCCGGAGCCGGGAACATGGAGAGAAAGGGGCGAGCAGCACCTAACCAAACGGGGCGGCCACGGGGCATTCGAGTGGGAAACCAACCTAGCATGTTGCAGCAACCTAACCTAGCTTGCAACACGGATGCCGCCTGTACTCTGAACAGTAATAACATCAGGAGAGTACTGGAGAACAAGCAGAGAATCACTCGCAAGACTCCGGGTCAAGGTGTCAGTGACCCAACAGGCAGCATGACGGAGGTAAAAATGGCGACTGTCACCCGGAGACAAGGGAACAGCAACCAACGATCCCGTTCAAGACGGGTTGGAACCCGGAAGACACATTCAATGGTCCCCCGAGCCCAGACAGGGGTTTCCAGGGCCCGTAGGGTAACAACTACGGGAAGCCCGGGCAAGGTGTTGCTAACCGGTTAAGAAACCCAAACATAACAAGAGGGTAGATTATAGCACTGAAAACCCCTGAGACGTGTACAAGCACGGGGGCCTAGCAGAGGGCCGCCAAACACTACCAGTGGAACTATAACCACCTTAGGCAGACCCCCACCAGGCAAGAAAATGAAAAACAAAAGAAAAACCCCGCAAAAGTACACCGTCTCCAGAGGCAACAGAAACCGGCCGCCGCTTAGGTGGCAGGCTGCGCAACACCTTGACGCCCTAACCAGCACAATACCAATCCCTACCCAGGGCCAAACAAGGGCCCCAAGCCCCAGCTGGCCCCAAGGGCGAGGCAAATGCCGAGCAGCAAGAACCTCTACGGGAATGGTTCCCGAACGCCCCAGGGAAGATAACCCTGTTACGCAAGGGCAGTACTCACAGGGCGCTTAGGGAAGTCAGCCACTAAGCACATGCAGCCCCGGCACTGATGAAGTACTCCTGGCCACCGCACACCACAACACACGGCAGTGAACGCCACACAAGGCAAACACCGCCTAGGAAACTGAGGCCAGAGAAGCGTCAATCCCGGTTGACATTAGCGAACGAACTGGAGCTTGGCAGCCGGCGCGGTAGGTCCGGGGCTCCCCCCTCCCCCTCCCGGGGTGGGGAGGGCTGCGCGGACGATCGGCGCGGCAGTAAAGTGTGATGTTTGCTTGTTTGCTTGTTTCCTTGGGATTGTAGGGAGTTTTCTACCTCTCTGTTCGGTTTTTGTTGTAGTTTCTTACCATGTGGGGTTTGTTTTGTTACGCCTACCTTTCTGGGTGCCTAACCCCGGTCGATGGCAGATAAGGAAAACCCCCAACCATATGGGGTTTTCCAGGGCCATTGCTCCCTGAAACCTCTCTGAAGGGGCCAGGTTCTGGCGCTGGTCCCTGGTAGGTCTGAACTCCTTAGCTAATGTCCCGGTCTAACATAACATACATTAGCCCGATAAGCTCCAGGGAGCCGTAGGGGCTCCCCACAGAAAATGGGAAAGGCAGCAAGAAAGGGCGCCTGTACTCTGAACAGTAATAACATCAGGAGAGTACTGGAGAACAAGCAGAGAAATATCTCGCAAGACTCCGGGTCAAGGTGGCAGTGACCCAACAGGCAACATGACGGAGGTAAAAGTGGCGACTGTCACCCGGAGACAAAGGCACAGCAACCAACGATCCCGTACAAGATGGGTTGGAACCCGGAAGACACATTCAGTGGTCCACCGAGTCCCGACAGGGGTTTCCAGCGTCCGTAGACTGACTGCTATGGGAAGCCCGGGCAAGGTGTTGCTAACCGATTAAAACCCAAAAATAACAAGAAGGTAGAGGACAACACTGAAAACCCCTGCAACGTGTACAATCACGGGGCCTAGCAGAGAGCCACGAAACACTACCAGTGGAACTATAGCCACACTAGGCAAACCCCCACCAGGCAACTGAAAATAAAAACAAAAGAAAACCCCGCAAAAGTATACCGTCTCCAGAGGCAACAGGAACCAGTCGCCGCTTAGGTGGCAGGTCGCACAACACCTTGACGCCCTAATGAGCACAATACCAGTCCCTTCCCAGGGCCAAACAAGGGCCCCAAGCCCCAGCTAGCCCCAAGGGCGAGGCAAATGCCGAGCAGCAAGAACCTCTACGGGAATGGTTCCCGAATGCACTAGGGAAGATAACCCTGTCAAGCAGGGGCAGTACTCACAGGGCGCTTAGGGAAGGAAGCCCCTAAGTGCATGCAGCCCCGTGCACTGATGAGGTACTCCTGGCCACCACACAACACAACACACAGCAGTGAACGCCACACAAGGCAAACACCGCCTAGGAAACTGGGGCCAGAGAAGCGTTTATCCCGGTTGACATTAGCTTACGAACTGATGCTAGGCAGCCGGCGCAGTAAGTCCGGGGCTCCCTCCTCCCCCTCTTGGGGCGAGGAGGGCTGTGCGGACGATCGATGCGGCAGTAAAGTGTGATGTCTGCTTGTTTTCTTGGGATTGCAGGGAGTTTCTACCTCTCTGTTCCGTGTTTGTTTTAGTTTTTTACCATGTGGGGTTTGTTTTGTTATGCCTTCCTTTCTGGGTGCTAACCCCGGTCGATGGCAGATAAGGAAAACCCCAACCACAAGGGGATTTTCTAGCGCCATTACTCCCTGAAACCTCTCTGAAGGGGCCAGGTTCTGGCGCTGGTCTCTGGTAGGTCTGAACTCCTTAGCTAATGTCCCGGTCTAATATAACATACATTAGCCCGATAAGCTCCAGGGAGCCGAAGGGGCTCCCCACAGAAATTAGTGTTTCATTACATTCACTGCTGGGTTTTTTATACAGAAGCATAGTTACATTTTATCAATGCATAATACAGTCAATAGAAATTTAGCAACTACTGTACTATATCAGTTAAGAAATTCTTTGGAGTACAGTGGTGGAATCCTAACCATGTCCAAGATCATCCTAGATGAATGCATTGCCAATTGGATCACAATGTGCTTAAAAGTAATAGGTGACCAAGGATGTAGGTTCTATTTCACTGCCATGCTCCAAAGATGTGTTCATAGATATATTCCGCTACAATATTGTGTATTTCATTGTGTACTATACCAGTTGCTGCTTCCCAGAACGTGACAGCAGAGTATGGTCCTCGCATCATGACCCATGCATGCGGGGTACCTGAACGGCGAGTTCCAACACACACCCATGCGTCTAGGCCATATCCTAGCAATATGCTACACAGCAAAGTACACTTACTTTCTGTACTCTGCAAAAGTGAATGTTTGAAGATAATCAGTTACAAAATTATAAAGAAATGCTTAAATGTATAACATTTTGAAATCCTTTAGAAGCACATATTGGAGTAATAAATACAGAAACATAGCATAAACATTAAAACATTATATAATGTCCAGCTTTTCTGATCTGAAGAACCCCCATTGGCTCCCTGAACAAGATAGCTGAGATAGCTTCACACTACTGAGAGCCCATTAGGCTCAAGAATCTGTACACCAGTTGATTGACAGTTGAGAGGCAGGACCAAAGAGCCAAAGCACAACTAGGTGAATACACTACTGAATTATATGTCATAGAAATCCTGTTGACCTAACAGAGACCCGAGCCATTAACTGGTCCTTCTCATTAAGTCACAGAAAACTGAGGATTGTTATGATCACCCATAGAAACAAAGCATCCAGAAAGTATGCAAAGCAATACAGGCAACAGCATGGTTCTAAAAAATGAATGAATCACCTAAACAGTAAACAGACGCAGCAAATGATTTACAAAGCAACCAACAGGTGGCATTCCGGACCTCCCACGTCAGGGCCTGCAAAGACCCAGTCTTGTCTTTGATATGAGACCCTTCTGATCTTCCTGAGTCATCTCATCATAGCAAGAGCCACTTCTTTTCCAAGATACCCAACACCATAGGGTTTATTTAGCAATTGACAATATTAGGTCCGGTGCACTCTGCAACTCCAAAGAGCAGCAGGGTTACCAGGGCCTGGAATGTAACCAAGCAGGGTACCCAGGCACTTGGGACACTTCCTGAAAGAACTGACATCTATACAGTGGAGTCTTGATGTTCGATTGCCCGAGTACAAATTTATCGGTGTACAATGTAAATTTCATTGTAAAATCTGCCCTGGTGTTCAATATTCACTCTGGAGTATACAGCACTTGTTCAATATCCACTTAAGATACTAAGATCCAGGTAAGACAAGTAAAAAATCCTATAAGCTCTTAGATAAAGACTGGTGAGTACACTTTGCTAAACTGAATTGGAATGATGAGAAAAAATGAATATATGAGTTTGTATGTGACTTTTTCCTTTAAGTCCACAATGTAAATTGATCGTCGCGTCTACCTACCATGCAATCCAAAAAGGGGAGTTCTTTATTACCTTCTTCCATAGTGCTCACCTGTCTTTATCTAAGAGCTTACAGAATTTGTGACTTATCTTACCTAGAAGCTGAACTTAAATAAATATTTAAGAGTTTTCTGGATTTAAGTTATCCCTCATGGTTCATTGAAAAAGCACACAGTACAGTAAGGCTAAAGGCCTCCTTTACACTAAAACTGAGAGACGCCCGTGGAATCCTGATAAGAAAATAGTTTTGAAATTGCCTTACAACCCTCTTTTAAGTAAACAGACCCGTAACGCAGCAAATACAAAACATAAAATTGTTTTCAATTACCCAAATACAAGTTAGGAAAAAGATTAATAAGAATAGAGAAGGAGAGGATAGTAATCTGGGAGTTTATATATTACCTTGAAGAGATTGTAATGAAGTCTATGTGGTGCGAAACAGGGCAAAAACTTGAGGTCAGAATTGAAAAACATAAAAAGGCATGTAGAATTATGGCTGATAACAGTGCTGTATCAAACCATAATTGGGAAAAGGATCACAATGTTGATTTTAAGATATGTGAAATAATCTATAAAAGTAATACTATTAGAACTAAAAGGGACTACATAAATCTCACAAACACAAAAGTTTGGGATTTTATCCTATGTTAGTATGGTTGTGAGAAACCTTACCATTACTAATTCTTTATAGTCATAGTCCTTGGTTAAGCCCTGTTGTTCTTGTACGTAAGCCAGATAAGACATACAGATTTTGTGTTAATTACCATAAAGTAAATGAACAGACAGTTGCCGATTCCTATCCTCCTACCTTTAATTCAAGAGATCCTTGATAGTTTTGGCCATTCCCTCTCTGATTCCCTCTCCCCCCAAATATGTTAGTTCATGGGCTATCAACTCAAGACAGACTCAATGCTGGCCCAGGAGTAGGAGCCCAGGAATATCAGATTTTGGTGGTTTTGCACACTTGGGAGATTAAGCCGAGCTTCATGTGAACCACTTGGAATTAAGCGAATCATTTGTGGAGTCTGCTGGCTGTTTTGGTGCTTCATTTTTATAGAACATGCAGTTACCTGTATTGCTTCATCAATTTACTGAATGCTATTTCGAGTGTGATTGTAAAAATCCCCAACTCTCTCTCTGCTTCTGAGTAGGGACCATATTCTGGCTCTGGTCCTCGGTAGGCCAACAGGACTCCTATGAATGATGTGACTCAGTAGTGGGAACCTATCTTAACATGCTAGATTCAGGGAACAATGGGGGTTCAACCAGAAAAGAGAATTTCATTATATTTAATGCTGATTTTATACAAAGCTGACCAAGATGTCAAATATGCTTACTAGTGAGCGAGCAATGACAGCTATAGGCAGAGTAAACCACAGTCTGTTCGAGCAGGCAGGTAAATGATGAATGGGAATCACAGGCATGACACTGACCCATCGAGCTGCTTCTTCAGGAGACTTTAGCATTCGACCCACCTCAAATTTTCTTACAAATTCACATACAAACCTGCAAAATTAAATTGAGCTGAAGTTTTGCAGAGCAGAGATACTTTATCATACCTTTGTATAACAAACCAGCGTTGAATGTAATGAAACGCCATTTTCTGGGTGAGACCCCGGAGGCTCCCCAGAGCTTACTAGGGTGATATGCTAATGTCAGACTTTGGCATCAGTCATGTGTATGGAGCTCTGTGGGCCTACTGGGGACCATGAGCCAGAACCTGGCCCCCTCAGAGAAGCACGGGAAGCAATGGCCTATAGAAACCTCCGTGTGGTTGGAAGCATTCTATGTCTGCCATCGACCGGATCAGGCACCCAGAAAGTTAAACATCCCAAAACAAACCCCTATTCTGGTGAAATTATTGCTACCAAAAGCCGAACAAGTGGATAGAACTCCCCCTAAAAGAAACAAGCAAACGATCATGACGTCACATGCTGCTGCGTCACTGTTTGTGCAGCTCCCCACTCCATGGGAGGGGGAAGGGGAAGCCCCAGACCCCTCATGCCGGCTATCCACCCGTCAGTTCTGAGGCTGGATATCAAAACACAGGAAAAAACGCCGACCAGGAGTTAAGGTTGGATACCGGTGGGGGGGGGGATGCTGGACCCTCCAAGTCTCACCCAGAAAATGGCGTTTCATTACATTCAACGCTGGTTTTCTGGAGAGAGCCCCTTCGGCTCCCCGGAGCTAACTACCCACAGAGGAAGAACGTAGGGACTTACATAGGCAGTCGTTGCTCACTCCACAACTCGAAGTCGAGACAACCGGCTGCAACCGCCAACCCAAAAGACACAGGCCTGACTAGGCCTAGAGACATGCATGAGGTAACGAGCAGAAAGGACCTCGTTCGACTGCCAAAAGCCCCGTGCCCGAATGGCAGCCCAGGACATGGTGCCAAAGACAGCAGCAAGCGCAGTGAACGTATGAAAGACACGGACACGGGGACAGACTGCAGGCTGGCTAGCCTTAAGAACTCTGCAGACGACCTTGGAGACCTGCACCCGCGAACAGGGAAGAAAGGGAAACCAGATCAACCCAAAGTGCGTCCCCGGACACAGAGGCTGCAAATAACGGCGAAGAGCCACCACCGGACACAAAACATGATGCACCCCCGGCCCAACCAACCAAGCCTCAACAACCCAGGGACCCCTGCAGAAAGCAGCAGTCCCAATCTTCACCAGAAAAGGAGGAGATGGCTGAAGACGAACAAAACCATCACCACACACAAAAATCAAAATAGCGTGATGCCTCAAATGAACCTGGGCTGCCCAATGGCAACGAAGACCAAAAGAGCAGAAACCCCAGCGCCGGAGGAGAGCATGAAGCTCCCCAACCCGACCCCCAGAGGCCAATGCCAACAGAAAAGGAGCCTTGGAGAACAATCCTGAACCGAAGGGGCCACCAAAAAAAAACGAGGAGAAGGAAAAGAGCACTCTGTCCAATGACCTGGACGGCTCAGGCGGCGAAAGAGCAGGCTGGAGGTGAAACAATGCACGAGACAGCTTGCAAAACAGCGCAGAATTAACATCAAAACCAAAAGCAAGCCGAAGTGGCTCTGCCTGAGCCACGCGACACGAGGTGACGAATGGGGCAAGATGACGGCCCCAAACCTCCACAAGAAAAAGACAAGGCCACGCCAACAAAAGCAGCTACCGAAGAAGGGTCAGAGGGAAATGAAGGACCGCCAAAAACCCCACACTGCTGCCAAGAAGAATAATGCAGGTGGAACACCATCAACGAAGCCACCCGACCACCAACAGAAGGCGAGAGACTCGAGGCAGAACCGAACCGGCCCCGCCACGGGCCAATCGAGCCTTGGAAGCGGCGGAGCCGCGGGAAGATCTCGGGTGCGATCACGGAGCCAGCAAAGCCGGAAACTCAAGCTGGCAAAGGAGGAGAAGGGAGAACCGCCGCTAACAAGCCACGCCAACAACACAGGTGTGTGACACGTCTCAACACAAGGCGAAAAGATAACAAGGTGCATAGGTACGCCAACAGACCAGTACCCGAATCAAGGAGTTCGAGCTACGAGGATATGATCACCACATCAAGGATTCCCAAAGGAAGAGATATGGTAGAAAAAGACAGACTATGGGACCCCAGGGGCACACGCACCAGTGGACACCGGTGGAATGAGAGCCCAAACGAGCCAAAGGGACATGGGAAAGATGTATGGCAGTGTCAGTAGTAGACAAGCGGAACGCATGAGGAAACAATGTGGTAGAGAAGGACACCACACACAACTTCAAGCGCAGATATGATAGAGCCCAGCAGGCCCAGGAATCTGCACATGAGCGAATGACAGGTGAGAAGCGGGACCAAAAAGTCAGAGCCCAACTCCCACAACACAACTAGGGAAGTACACCTAGGTAAGTACCGTACAGAGAATCCAATGTATATGGAAGGTCTAAGCCAGGCACTGCAAGTCCTGCAAGAAAAGTGACCCATATAAGGCCATGAAAAACGGGGCCATGACCCCCCTTGCAACCATTAACCCAGATGAACAAGTAAGGCCCCAGGAAGAAGCACAGAAGGGCCAAACAAAAATCCACAACCAATCCCCAACACACAGGGGATCTGTGTGCTGGGAATTGTTGGGGATTTGGGGATCTCATACGCTCGGGGTGGGACACCACGAGCGTAGCTCTCATCCAGTAACTACACTCAGGTAATTACACATCCACAACATGAAAACTGGTGCAAAATGTCACCTCAAAACATCCAGACAGGAACACTTACCCCATAACATATACCCCCCACCACTGTACCTCATAACCTGGTGGAGGTAGGGCCTCTATCTGGACTCAAGCATGGGCTGGACATGCATAAGAGTGGGAATGGATGGGTATAAATAGGAGATGCCTCATATGGCCCAACAGGCCTGCTGCAGTCACCTATGTTCCGATGTTCGTATATTCGTATCCAAAAATCACTAACCAGCGCCTGGCCGAAGAGAAGCCAGACCGCAAAAACTCACCTGCAGAAAGTAGGCACAAACGTGTCACGACACAACATGGCCGAGAAGATCCCGGGAGCACTGCCAGTGGAAGAAGGCAGAGTCGTACATGCAGGAGAATAGGGTAGAGGCGAAGGAGGAGCTCCACACTCATACGCAGGGAAAACCCCGCATCTGCCCCATAGCAGCAATCCAGAACACTCCCAGGAGCTACTGGGCATGGCCTGGAGACTGGAGAAGAGCGAGAGGTGAAGCCCCGGAGAGAAAAGGGACGCAAAATACCAGCACACGTGCACACCGCCCGTATCAAAACAAACAACCGCAGCGCATGTGCAGCAGGGATGCCAGACGTGGGTCACCAGAAATTGTGAGCTGAAGAAAGAAACCATGAATGTGACTAGAAAATAGACAAAATAGTGTTGTTAACTACCGAAACCCATATGAGAGTACATAGGGCAGCCGCCAACCGTAGTCGAAAACAGCAGGAAGGAGCGAAAAGAAACCCAGCACAGCGTTCCATTTGGGCTACAAAGAGCCCAACCGGCCTACAAGGAACCCAATCTGGCAACACTGTGCAGTGGAGGACAGTGCACAGAGAGAAGAGACAAACACAAATGAATGAAACAGGACCGAAAAACAAAAAACTTGGAGAAGGACCAGCAAGCCTCAGAAAGGACCGGAAGACGACAGACGTTCCAAGAATACGATTAGAAACAAAACCTTCACGATCCTCCTAGAACATAAAGAAGCAAACGTGAAGCACGAATGCATGGAAGGCAAAGTCGCACCCAAGACCAAAAGTCATGCAGATCCCCGAGAAGAGGGAAACATGACTGTGCGAGGCCCGTCCCAAGATGAAGGGTGGAGAAACGTATCCACCGACAGGACAGACCCAATGGATCCAAAGAACGAGGAACCGATCCTGGGGAGGGGCCGACTCCCAAAAACATGCACGGAGAGGGGGGGGGGGGGAGGGGAAGAAAAAACCCAACTCCTCATAACTGTAAGCACCACCCAAAGGGTAGAAAAACCCAGGAGGGGTCCAAACGTCAGTCGAAGGTGCCACCGACCCCACAGGCCGCAGATGGAGGCAAAACAATGAGAGTCACCCCTGAGACAAGGGAACAGAGCAACCCTCGAACTCGCACAAAGTGAGGGGGGACTCCGGGGCCACATCCATCGGACCCACGTGCCCCCTAGGGGTATCCCAGGGTCCTGAGTGTTTACCAACAGGGACTCACGCCCAGGTAATTCCAGGCAGGGTACTGCTAACCGGCGCCCAAGTCTACCAAACAACATTCTAAGAACTGAACCCCCCAGGATGTGTACACTCACGGGGACTTAGCAGGGGGAAAACCCCGCAAGAAGACAATATACCCCAGGCGGAACAGAGCCGGCCGCTATGATTGCTGAAAACAAGCTGTGCAGTACCTCGAGACCCTACCAGTGCAAACTGTCCCTACTCCAAGGCAAACAAGGGAGACAGAACACCCGAGCACACAAAAGGCGGCTGAAAACAAAGTAGTAAACCGGCTAGCAGGGGCAAAACCCAAGGAACTCGTGGAAGGTGGCCCCAAGGACAGTACTTACAGGAGTTACCTTACCTTATCTTACCTCAGCCTTTAGCATCAGCCTTAGAACTGATGGGTGGATAGCCGGCATGAGGGGTATGGGGCTCCCCCTTTCCCCCTTCCTGCGGAGGGGGGGAGCTGCACAGACAGCAGCGCGGTGACGTGTAACGTCATGATCGCTTGCTCGTTTCTTTTAGGCAAGTTCTATCCACTTGTTCGGCTTTTGGTAGCAATAATTTCACCAGAATATGGGTTTGTTTTGGGATGCTTACCTTTCTGGGTGCCTCACCCGGTTGATGGCAGACACAGAATGCTTCGAACCACACGGGGGATTCTATAGCCCATTGCTCCCCATGCCTCTCTGAGGGGGCCAGGTTCTGGCTTGTGGTCTCTGGTAGACCCACAGAACTCCATACACATAACTAATGCCAAAGTCTGACATTAGCATATCAGGCTAGTAAGCTCCTGGGAGCCGAAGGAGCTCCCCTATGAAAAATGGTACTCAATATTATATTAATATATTTCAGTGTTGCAATACATTAAGGTGAGTTTGTCAATTTTTCACTGCATATTAGCTGTCCTAAAACTTACCTGTATTTCCCACATTCATCCATAGCAAACATTTGAACCAATCTTGATGAATGACTAGTAGAAGCGTTTAAATACTCTTGCCACCACTTTTGTGCATATGTTCGAAACAGTCTCCTTCTTTCTCCTCTTTGATTTTTTATTTCTTCAAGGTATTTGGAAACAACAGGAGCTTGTAGAGGAGACCCCACAGGTGGAACTAATGTTACTTCTATGTCCAGTAGTCCAACAGGCACTTCATGCTCACTTCCTGGGAGGGACAAAGACATATTCAGATGTACACATTCAAAAGGTGATGCCTCTAGAGTCAACACCTGCATCAGAGGAGCTCCAGGATATTTCACAATTCCTACATATTGTAATACAGGTTGATGATAGTGAGTGGTGTCCCAAGGAACATAAATGTGTAGTGCTTTGGAAAAATAGGTGAGATAACACGAATGTGCAAAGTGAAGTGAAAAATTGTTTGAGAAAAAGTTGCCCCAGTGTTCACAAAGCAGACAACAACATTCAAGATGGCCGCCGGCAAGAAGGTAAACAAAACAAAGCTTGATTTTGGGGGTTTTAATGAAGAGAGCATTAATATAAGCAGTCTACACAACAAATTGGCAAAATTAGATATTATAGTGAACTATCATATAGAAATAATCAGCAAATTGAAAGAAAGTAATGACCATTTGAGTAGCAAAGTTTTAGGTCTTGAGGGTTTAGTGAAAGACTTGTGCAAGGACAAGAATCAATTGGAAACAAATTGCAAAGCCATGGAAGAAGAAAATAAACTCTTAAAAATAGCTTTGGAAGAAGTTAAAAGCAAATTTAAACTTAAATGACTATGATAGGTTAGGTAAGGAAATTCAACAGGAAAAACAGCTTTTCCCAGTACAGATGGAGAAAGTTACACAGGGAATAGAACAGTGCAAGAAAGATATGCAACTCACCTATGCACAAGTGGCCAAGGAGAAGGAAAAAATAAAGGAAGCAATAAAGGAAGCCAAACACTGCAGCAACCAAGATAAAACAAACATTAGGCTGGAAGTGAGAAAGGAACTGGCATCTAACCCGAAGTTGGTGCAAAATACAGTTGATCGAAGTAAGTCCCTGAAAATTTTTGGTTACAAAGAAAAGGAGATAACATCTAGGTCAGAAAGAGCTGTAGAAGAAGAGAAAGTAGTAGATAAAGATGTTGGCCTCGTGGAAGGTCTTACTACCATAGAGAATGCCTGCGACTACAGGAGGATTGGAAAGTACGTATAAGGAAAAGATCGACCTTTGAGGATCACCCTAAATGGTGCTAAACAGATGGAAGAAGTACTAAGGAATGCTAGAAAATTACAAAGTGATGAGGAAGGGAAAGTATGGTCATTAAGATGAGATCTTTCAAAGGAAGACAGAAAGAAGCTAAAACTGAACCTCGTCGAGGCAAAACGTCTAAATGAGAGCAGAAATGAAGAAGAATTAAATTCTTTTTTCTCCAAAGTGATAAAGGTAGGCAGACCAGTAAAATGGTGCGCAAAAAGGCAAACCAACAAAATCACTAGAGAAAGGGGTAGTGAAGAATAAGGAGAGGGGGAACAAGTTCCTGAAGAGTGCATACACCAACATAGATGGAGTGAGATCAAAAATACTGGAGTTAAGAAATGTAATACAGCTGCAGACACCAGACATTGTTGCACTCACGGAGACAAAACTTGAAGATAATATTTTATATGAGGTCATATTCCCAAGGGGCTACTCAGTCTGGAGAACGGGACAGAAAAATTAGGAAAGGCAGTGGCATTACTGTGCTGGTGAAAAAACACCTAAAGGTAAATGAAATAATAATTGCCAATCCACGAGAAGTTGACATAATAGCACTAGAGATCTACAATCAGGATGATAAACTAACGATCATAAATATATATAGTCCACCGCTATGCAACACATGGTCAAAGGAGGAGCTAGATAATAAACGAGAGGGTCTTATAACAATAATGAGAGAGAGATTATAGCGAGAGCTGATATAGATAGATCACGACTGTTGGTAGTCGGCGACTTCAACTTGAAATCCATAGACTGGGAGGCATATGAAGCTAGAACAGAGGATTTTTGGACTTGTAGATTCGTAAACCTCATCCTGGAAACACTCATGTTTCAACATGTTAAACAAGCTACAAGGATGAGGGAAGGGGATATTCCCTCCCTGCTGGATTTGATATTTACCAGAAAAGAGGAAGAGATATTTGACATTCAGTACCTCCCTCCCTTGGGTAAAAGTGACCATGTCTTTTTGGGAATAAATTATGCAATGTATTATAATCTGAAAGAAAATGAGGTTGAAGCAGTTGAAAATCCTGATTTCAAGAGAGAGGTCATTATGGGGAACTCAGACATTTCTTTAAGGAATTTGACTGGGAAGACTTGCTGGTAGGACATGAAGTAAATGAGATGTATGTCAAGTTTTGTGAAATATATGATATAGGCACAACAAAATTTATACCAAAGCAGAGATGCAGAACTAGGAAACAGGACTGGTTCGACAGAAATTACGAGAGGGCCAGACACCAAGAGACACAAAAATGGAATCAATATAGGAAGAGACCAAACCCCCAAACATACAAGCAATACAAAGATGCGAGAAACAACTATATGGCAGTGAGGAGAGAGGCAGAAAGAAATTTTGAAAATGTGATTGCGGACAAATGTAAAACAGAACCAGGTCTATTCTATAAATTCATAAACAACAAATTGCAGGAAAAGGATAATATTGAGAGGTTGATAATGGGAAATAGATTCATGGAAAATGAAAATAAAATGTGTGAAACACTAAACGAAAAGTTCCAAAGTGTGTTCGTACAAAATTAAATTTTCAGGGAACCAGACACAAAAAGAATTCCAGAGAACAACATAGAGCACACAGAGGTGTATTGAGATCAAGTGGAAAAAATGCTTAAGGAGGTAAGTAAGAACAAAGCAGTTGGTCCAGATGGAGTTTCACCATGGGTTCTGAATGTGCACCTGAGCTTAGCATTCCACTTCAACTGATTTTTCAGGCATCCCTGTTTACAGGAGTTGCAGCTGATGTGTGGAAAAGGGCTAACATAGTTCCAATCTACAAAAGTGGCAGCAGGGAAGACCCTCTCAATTATAGACCTATATTATTGATAAGTGTAATAGTGAAAATATTGGAAAAAATAATTCAAACTAAATGAGTAAAATACCTGGAGAAAAACGATATGATATCAGACAGACAGTATGGTTTTCGATCTTGAATATCTGTGTAACAAATTTACTCAGTTTCTATGACGGAGCCACAGAGATTTTACAGGAAAAAGTTGGTTGGGTTGACTGCATCTATTTGGACCTAAAAAAATACAGCATTGAATGTAATGAAAGGCCATTTTCTGGGTGAGCCCCGGAGGCTCCCTGGAGCTTATCGGGCTAATGTATATTATACTAGACCGGGACATTAGCTAAAGAGTTCAGACCTACCATGGACCAGCACCAGAACCTGGCCCCTTCAGAGAGGTTTCAGGGAGTATTGGCCCTGGAAACCCCCTTGTGGTTGGGGTTTTCCTTATCTGCCATCGACCGGGGTCAGGCACCCAGAAAGGTAGGCATAACAAAAAAAACCCCACATGGTAAAAACAAAAACATAAAACCGAACAGAGAGGTAGAAACTCCCTACAATCCCAAGGAATCTAGCAAACAAGCAAACATCCCACTTTACTGCCGTGCCGATCATCCGCGCAGCCCTCCCAGTCCCGAGAGGGGGAGGGGGGAAGCCCCGGACCTCACCATGCCAGCTGCCTAGCATCAGTTCGGAAGCTAAGCTTCAACCAACGCGAAAAAACCTCCAACCGGTGGGAGGGAGGGTTGCTAGGGAGCCTACGGGGCTTACCCAGAAAATGGCGTTTCATTACATTCAACGCTGGTTTTCTGTGGGGAGCCCCTATGGCTCCCTGGAGCTTCATACCCAAAGAGAAGGAAAAGAAAGGGCTGACCCAGGAGACGGTCGCCACAAACTTCTCAACGCGAAGTCGAGACAACAGGCTGCAACCTGCGACCCATGGCAACAAGAACGCACAGGAGCAGACACGCGTATAAAGAACAGGCGGCCAGGAACCTGTGCGACCCTCAAATCCTTGCGCCTGAAATGAGCCCTAGACGTCAACCACGTCCAACACACCCACCAAGATGACATGACGAAGCGCAGGGGAAGATGCCCACCCCGCCAGCCCCGAACCCCCCAAAGGGGAAGAAGCCATCCGCCGCCATCAGAGGCCGGAAGACAACCAAAAACGTCCACTAACTGCGGGACCAAGCGAGAATAAACAGAGCAAGCTGCTCCCCCAGCGCCCCTTCAAGACCGAAGGGAACAGATCCCCTTCCGAAAGAAAAAGTATATATGTATATATAAATACACACACACAAGGTGTATGACACACGTGCGTATGCACATACACATGTGCACACACACCCACACAGTGTACACATGTACATGCACATGTGTACACACACATACACGTGAAAAGAAAATTACAAGCCGCCGACCAGTGGGCAGAGAGCACCACGCCGGCCAGGCGAAGAAGGCACAAAAATGCATCAAAAGGCCCACCTCGACAACAAACCCCAAAGCCCCGGCACGACCATAACACGTACCAAGACCCAAAAAGATCAGCCTGCAAGCCAGGAAGACCCCAGAACCCCAGAAGGTAGAACCAGGTCACACATGAGGAAACAAAGCCCCCTGAACCTACAAAGGGGGCCCAAGAGGAAGAAACCTCCGGAACGAAACCAAAGAACCCAGAGGAACCCGGAATCAAACCCGGGGGAGCCCAAACCATCACATTTGCTGGCGGAGATACACCACAGAAAGGTAAAGCACAGCCCCCAAACAGAAACCCCCAAGGAAATGGCCAAAACAGACCGAAAACCGAGGGACAAGGCGTGGGAGCAAGCATAAACAGACAGGGACACTGAGCCCAAACCCTAGGGACCAGACCCAAAACAGACAAAACGGAAAACCCGGTATAAAACCCAACACCCAAGCATTCTCAGAGGAACAGAAAATGGGCAGAAAACACAAGAAAAAGCAAAGAAACGGCAACTAGAGGATATAACCCCTGAAAGAGGTGAAAAGCTCACCCAAGATGTTAGCTGGCACACCCACGCGCATGTAAACAAACTGCAGCGCTGCCCTGGTGGCCAAGCCGGGAAACCAACAGAAGAAAATGGCCACCAGAAACAGGGGGCCGTGACCGACGCAATAGA